TAGAAGATGCCAAACAGCATTAGCAAGTGGTTTTTTGTTCTTATTTAAGATATTTGAATTATTTATGAGTCTCAGCGACGTGAAAACAAAACTCATTTCTATAGAGGGCACGTATTGTACGTATGTACATATGTATGTAAGTATACATATATAAGAGTTCACTAGCTCCAACAACAAAATACACGGAAAGATTCTTGCCTGACATTCAGTAACAAACATATATCATTTAATTTTATCTCTTCTGATATACATATTTAAAAATTAATATAAGCCCATACATACATATGTATGTATGTACATATGCTCGTCTAAGTTAAAGGGCGGTAGACATAAAAAAAAAAATACCAGCTCCCACCAGAAACGAGAAATATTGAAAATAAGTGGACCCGCATATTTTTTTTTTTAATTTGGCTAATATTTAATGGTGCCAGACCTTTGAAGTTTACCATGTATGTTTGTATGTATTATTGCTTATAATTTTTGAAGAAAAATATTCTTATTCGATCATAAAATATTTAGTTTTCCCGATGATATAACAATTTCAGGAACAAATTTTGTTTCCTCCATATAAGAGATATGGAAAACCGCAAAGACCAGGCGGCGCCACTAAATATTAACCGATAGGCAGCTACAGGTTTCCAAAAAGGAAAGTCTCCTGTGCACTTTTGGACCACCATAACGTTCACATTGGACTCACATGGTCCATCTGATCGAAGCTTTTCGCCGTATGAAAAACTAAAAAAAAACACATATACATACATATGAAGAAATATGCGCAAGGTGGTATATGTACGTATGCATGTATGTAAATACAAATGAATATAAATATGTATATAAACTATGATTAACCGTTCTTAAAACATTTCAACATACATACATACAAACAAACAAAATTGTGTGTTCTTTTTTATCCATGTATATGTACATATGCTTGTATGTTTATTTGTACCACTAGAACTAATAAAAATATGAAAAATGTTCACCGAAAGTAAAAAAATGTTCGCACTGGTTTATGTATGTATGTACATATGTAAGTATGTATGTATGCATGTAGATAACCTAATGCATAATTATGTATTGTTTTAAAAGCTATCAATTAAAGAAGTAGTGCAAAAAATTTAAATAGTTCCTAAATGCATACACATCCGTACATACACTTCTCGTCATTTGAATAGCGCACCCTTCTAATCCTTAGCATTTTCCATTTGTTTATTTAGTATTCATTCATTTTTTATAAAAATAAAGCATATTCTACGTGTAACTCCGATTTTAAAATTTTATACAAATTTAAAAAAAAAAACAAAGAGTGCACTATCCTGATGACCTGAGTGAATAAAAAGTAATGAATTTAGGAAAATTTTCGATATGCAGTTTTGTATCCCATTGAATTTTAGTATAAGAAATTGAAAGTTTAAATGCCTGTAAAATAGGGTTTGCTTTTGACAATTTTTTTGTTAGCAGTGTCATGTATTTTCTTCCATACAAAGTATGTTCGACAACATTTTTATATGGAATAAATGCGCAGCACCGGCAAAAATTTAATGGGCTACAAAATTGCATATTCGAAATTTTTCTAGAAATATTACTATCTTATTCACTGCAGGTCATTAGGATAGCCTCTTTGTTGACTTTTTTTTTTTTTAATTAATATAGAATTTTAAAATCGGATTTACAAAAAATTAATGAGTAGTAAATAAAAAAAAGGAAAACTGTAAACACTAAGAATTAAAGGGGTACGCTATTCAAATGGCGAAGAATGTATGTATGTATGTATTACCAAATATCCATATNTCATTACCATTTCCCTGCCGAACGTCCCTTACTTTTACAAAGGCATGGCCGCCTTATGTAAGTAGGAATTTAGAATGTACATTTGGTATCAGACATACTTCTGAGCCGCTTTACAAAGTAAGTTACGTGTAATGCAGAGCAGTCGCTCGGAGTAGTTCGGTGCTTGGAAATAACTTCGGCTGCACGTTATTTTGCAACTGACAACGTAATGTGTCTTCGGAGGTGTTCATTTTGCCCTTTACTAGTAGATGACATTGGCCATGATGACAATTTTGGTACTAAAAACTGAAAGAAAACATGGCTTACCTCGCAAGGTGCTTACCTATTTTCCCAGTGGGTAAGTAGATTCATACATATGTATGTATGTGTAAATGTGGTTACTTATTTTTTCGGTGTTTTCAATAATATGTATGTACATTAGACTGTGCCAAATAAAACGAATGTTTGCTTTTCTTTCGGTCCCATATGAAGATTTTGTTGTCGGTCACGAAAAAAATAATCGTGGCAAAATTTCAGCCATCTATCTTCATTTTACAGATAGCGCTCCAAAAAATAAGAATTTTTAATGAAAAAAATGTTTCCCCAATATTTTTTTAACCGACTTCCAAAAACGGAGGAGGTTATCAGTTCGTCGGGATATTTTTTTTTTTTATGTTACCGCATAACTTTGGACCACGTCAACCGATTTCGATAATTGCATCGGAAAGGTAGTGTCTCAGAGGTGGTCCCATACTAATCTGGTTAAGATCCGATCAGCGGATCATGAGATATATATATATATATATATTTTTATATGAGAGTTGAAGTCGGTTTTTTTTTGCCAAAAATTACTTGTTTTAATAAACGATCATGTATAACAAATAAATTAAAACAAACTTGTAGCCCATTCAATTCTAGTATAGTAAGTGCAAGTTTAAAGTAGCTAGGACTTACGGTTGATGACCCCTGTGAGATATGCCTTAACCGATTTCAATCGGGGCCAAAATTTATATGTGATATCTGCGACAAAAGTAATAATAATATAAAAATGTACTTCCTACATTTAAGGACCACCCTAACATACATACGGGTGTACATGAATATGAAGGGTGTACATTACGCTTAATTGATTAATTGAAAACATTAGAAATAGCAACTCATAAATTCCAATTAACGCTAAACCAATTAAAATTAGAGTGAATTAGTCTATCATTTAAAACATCATTTGGCCAAACATTTTCATGCCACACTGTCTTCATTATTAAATTAAATTATTTCTTTTTTCTTATCATTTCAGAAACTTCATGCTGAACGTCTGCAACCGAAATTGCATCAAGTGTCTTTATGTATCTGCCTTCGTCAGTAATTTCATTTAGAATATTGAAAGCTGCTTTAGTTTCAATAGAAAAGTGGAGTTAACAGTAACATTAGAATTTTTAAA